ACCAGAAAACAAGAGACACAGTGAACAACTCTCCGCTTCCAACAAGATGTCTCCAAACAGAAGAAACGGTAATTGACAACAGTAGATACAGAAAGGGAAATATGGAAGTTTTTGCTGATGTGCTCGATATGAACCCCAACTGGGATGTGACTACTACAAAGGTTGCATCAACAGAGGCGTACCTTCCACATCCAAGGAGGTGACCGCCTGCTTGTTCTCTGACTGGGAAGGCAATGGGGCTGTAGGAGGCACTGTGACCAACCGAATCATGTCCAAAGCCAGAGAACAATCTCCTAAGAACTCCTGGAACAGCTACAGCTGTGCAGCCAGAAAAACAGTGATCCTGGGCTACAGAGGAGGGAGAAAGAGCCAGAAATTGTAAATTCCTAGAAAGCGAATTTGGCCAAATCTCTAAGCCTTCTGCAGTCAGATCTGCTCAGCAGTGGCTGTGGGCCTGGGGGTGGGGCCGGGACTCTCCTCCCCAGAAGTTTCCTTTCTTCTTTAGAAAGCGAGAACACCTCCAAGGCAGCTCCCAGCCCAGGTCCCCCAAGATCTGGCCCGCCAGGTGACCAAGCTTCCCTGCGGGGAGATGGGTGGACATCCACACACCTCAAAGGCGCTCAGTCATCCGCAGCGGCCAGCCTGGCAGGAAGGCACTGGTGAGCCACCAACCCGAACAGCAATCCTTCCAGTGGCTGCGTCTCCAGCTTGTTTTTTCCCCTCGGTACCGGAGGTTGAACCCAGGGCCTTCGCACTGAGCTATACCCAACCCCTTTAAATTTTAAGACGAGGCCTTGCTAAGTCACTCAGGCTGAGCTTGAACTTGTGATCCTCGATCCTCCTGAGTCAGCCTCCCAGAGTGCTGTGGGCTTACAAGTGTACAGCACCATTCCGCTGGGCATTCGGCTGCTAAGCATAGTTTGCACTGTGTTTAAAAATGGTGGTAAGGGCCACGGATTTAGCTCACTGGTTCTGCCACCTGCCTTGCAAGCGTAAGGACCCGAGTTCGATCCCCAGTACCCCAAAACAAACAAATAAATAAAATAAAAACGGTGGCTGGGGGTTAGCTCAGTGGTTCTGGCACCTGCCTCACAAGTGCAAGGTCCCGAGTTCAATCTCCGGTACCAAAAACAACAACAAAAACGGTGGTGAATGTTGCAGAATTAACACTGACAGAGGCAGTTGGAAATAAGCGGATTATCCAAGCTTATGAGGTGCACAGAGCAACACACTTATTGCGCATCTGTATCTATCACCTGTCTGTCCATCTGCTGAAAACAGGACCAGTGTCTCTTTTCACTAATATAAGAAACATATTCACAAAGACTTAGAAAAACACAGTGGTGAAGGCTGAAGGCTCTGGGCTTCCATCTGCACAGCCCTACAATGCTGTGTGACCTTGGACAAGTGACTGAACTTCTCTGTGCTTTTGTTACTTCATCCATAAAACTTGGACCACAGTAGTTCCTGCCTCTCGGGGGCATTGGACAAGTGGAGTGAGATGACACAGGTACCCAGCTCCTGCTCATCTCCCTGGTGTCTCTTCCTAGTCCACTCCCTCTCCAGAAACCCCTTCCAGCCTCAGCAGCTTCCTGGCTGCAGGCTGAACACCCCAAGCCTGTTCTCACTTCAGGATCTTAGCACTTGCTGCTCCCTCTGCCTGGCCAGCCCTATGTCCTGTCACCACAGGTCTCAACTCCAAAACCACTTCCCTGGCGTCACCTTCCCAACTAGCCAGTCAGCTCCACAAGGGCCCGTGTCTCCCTGGTGGCCGTGTCCGGGCCCTGGCTCGTTTCCTGGGCGAGCGTGAACGCCCAGCCAGGGGCCGAAACCTGCAAGTGCGAAACCTGCAAGTGCTCCTCGCCTTCACTTTGCCAGCTGGGCCTCCCTTCCAGGCGCTCCCCTCCCCCACTTCCTGCCGCTCCAGACGCAGCTGGGAGTCAGGCACGCACTGGCTGCTTTTCTCACGCATGCTGCAGGCCGGAGCAGGTTGGGAGGCCCCTGGGCCCTGTGCTCCCAAATGAGTCAAGAGAGGCCAAGCGCCAAGCCCCAGAGACAACCGCCCTTCCTGAGAAGGGGAGACAAGGTACGGACAGAATCCCTGCCAAGTGCTCGGGCGTGTTGAAGCGGGGTGCCCCCGCCCGACCCCCAGATTCTGGGCCAGGCAGGCCTCTGGGTTCCCACCCACGTAGGTCTTGTACCAAAGACCCCTGGATGCCCTACTCCACCCAGCCACAGTGCAGTACCCGCCGATGCAGCACAGTGACAGCAGCACTGTCTAACCTAGCAGGACAGACTCCCCCCCGCCTCTGCCCCAGCTCAGGCCACAGCTGCCTTCCAACGATTAGGGCAAATTTAGTTTACAGAGCTTGTGGACTTTAGAATGTGAGATAAAGGCTGCATGTATTTGTATATGGCTGTCTAGCTCCACCAGGGCACAGGATCTATGAAAACCACCTCATAGACAAATCCCAAATCCCATCAACAGACAAAGGGAGGCTCCGAGGCTAAGGACGTCCTCTGGGTCACACAGCTAGGAAGCAGGAGCGCAGATCTCAGGAAGCCAGGGCCCATCTGTAAACCTGTGTCTGTCTCTCTGCCATAGGCTCAGAGACCTAACCAAGAAATCAACCGACAGCTGGGCTGATGTAGGGTCCCCACCTCCACAGAACCATCAAGCCTCCGCTGGGTGCTCTAGCTGGACACAAGAAAGGGCTAGTCTAGGCAACCTCCAAGGCTCAGCTGTGGGAATGCGAGGCCAGGCTGGTCTCTGCAGTACCAGTCAGCCCTCAGCCATGCTCAGCAGAGAAAACACAGGTGAGGAGGAAAGCAGTTCTGAGCCCGTCCCTGCCTCACTCAGACCTGGAACCTTGGGCCAGGCCACTGAGCACAGCACTGGGTCTACTTCCTCACCTGCAAAATGAGTGGACTCAATGGGCCAATCCCCCATACCAAAAAAAAAAGTGCTTCCTACATACCTGAGGATGTTTTGAGTGTTTAACAAAAATTAACTGGGGCAACCCTCATCGTAACAGTAGGAAGCAGTCCCAGAATATCACAAACCGGAGACTGAGGTTGGAGAAGTGAGCTCTGTAGCAAGACAGCCAAAGCAGCATTTGCACCTGATCAGTCTAGCTCTGGAGCCCTCATTCTTAAATACCACGCCACATCTCCTGACAGGTGGCAGCTGACAGGAAACTGCTGTGGACCTACTATGTGTTGGACCATGTGCTATGGCCCATGTATGTCCGTGTGCCCTGCCCTGCGTCCCAGACGCAATGGCCGGTGGCCGGCGGCTGAAGCCAATCCTGGGCTGTGGGGCAGGACAGGGCTTCCACTCCTGCTGCACACACACAAACACACACACA